TGAAACCAAATCCAATTAAACTAATCAAGTCGATTTTTCATCGGCTTGATTTTTGTCAGTTTTTCATATTTTCTATCATTTTTCTAGATATGCGACATATATTGCGAAATAAAATATTTTTATCATAAAATAGATTCTTAAATTTATAAAATAATGAATAAAAAAATATAAAAACAACGAACTAGAATATCGTAAAAGTAAAGAGCTACAAACCAAGATTGCAAAAGATTATTATATATGTACCATATGATTTTAAATTTTTTATATAAACACATACATAAATATAGGTAGCTATAATTTTTAATTTCAGATATTTATATAGTCGGTTTGGTTTAATTTTTTCTATTATTTTTTGATTTTGTAGATTTTTAAAATTAAAAACTAAAACCAAATCAAATAAATAAATATTATTTTTTTTGGTATTGATTTGATTTTCGATTTGATTTGGTTTTCGATTTGCTGAACTCTTCTATCAACGAGAGTCTATAAGTCGATAGGAGAAAGACTTAGTGAGATATGCTATGTAAACAAAAGGTGAACCCACTAGTTATAGACTCTTTCAGTCTCTTTAGACTTTTTTCAATAATCTTTAAAATTATGTAGTGTAGACTAAAAAAGCATTAGACTGAATTATGGGTAAAGCGAGGGGTTTAGAATATTACATTATATATATATATATATATATATATATATATATATATATATATATATATATATATATATATATATTATCCCTCGGTGAAAACTTTGTCTCCGTCGCATAACTGAGTCCAAGATAAATATATAGGAGTAACAAAGTTTATTTAGTTTCCAAATGTCAAATTTTAAGCATATGGACTCCAAAAGAGAAATTTGATAGTTTTCAATTGCTGACAGACTACAATATAACCAGAATGGACAGTAAAAATTGCACGGGGCGTCCTATTTGGTCGCCCCCATTTAACCTATACTCATTTTTTTTAAAAGTTTAAATTTGTACCCACTTTTTAAACAACTTCAGCCCCTTTCTCCTCCTCCTTCTCCTCCTTCGTTTTCTTCTTCTTCTTTCTTCTGCTGTTGTTGATGCTGCTAGGATACTTCAGTTCATGCGATGATTGCCATAAGTATGTTTATCAGATTATTTAAAAATAAATTATAAATAATTACGTAAGTTAGTAGACAATAATTTGTGAATATTTCCACGTACGGGAAGTTTAAGGTCACACTTTCTAATTCTTTTCATGATAATTCTGTTCTTTTAACGTTTATTGTTCCTAAAATTTATGATTTAGATACTGTTGGCAATCTGATTATTTTATAGTAGTAATACACTATGAAAGAATAAGGTGATTATTTATCTAGTATGTTATAAAGCTTTTTCAAAAACTTCAGCTTATATAATGCTGAAGTTTTTACAAATGAACTAAATAACTTCAGCATCTTCTGCTGAAGTTTCTGAAAAAGCTTTATGACAAAATTAATGAATCTAGGATTATAAAAATCATGCCTATAGGATTAAATTAAATGATTCTGAATGTGCTTCTGTGGTTATCAATGTCAATCACCTACACAACATGCTTATAGGGTTAAACAAATAACTCTAGCCATATTCGGGTGACTTGCTATTATTGTGTAAAACGCCCAGATAATGCGCTAAGCTAAAATCAGTAGGTAAATATGTGGGTAGGTTCTAATACCCGCATTCAGAAACCGATTATATATGATTGCCTGCTTGTTCAATATCACGTAGATATCCTGCCTATAGGACTCTATAATTACTAAAACCTGCTAATCAGTCTGCGTGCATTTGCTGTTTATATGTGGAGGCTAATTTGAGCCCTTATTTGTCTTTATTTGAAACGTCCTAATTTGTTTTGTATGTCGCGTAGTATTTTACAATTTTGAGCAACTTTGGTCGAGTCTAGAACCATCCTAAATAGAGGTCCCAATGCCTCCAGGACCATAGGTAAGGGACGAGTAGTGCACGCATAGGACACGAGTTAGAACTGATTAGAGCGCTTTAGGTAAAAACTCAAAGATAGTAATCTGGTAGAAGGAGATGATAGTCTGTGCCTGCTGAATAATATGAGTAATACCCTTGTCTTGGGGGAGTTATGAAGTATTATTTATGTTGCACAGGGTGATCCTCTAGGCTAAAAAACTTAGGACCCCCCATCCCTATTTGTTAGTTTGTGTGAGTCCACCAAATAGTAAAGCACCTGGTCCTTTACTGGTTCTACTGAGAATGCTAGTAAAGCTGTACGTAAATAAGGCAGAGGATTTTTACGTGGAAAAATCCCACAAAAGGGGATCAAAAAACCACGACCTACACCTGTAGTCTTTTAACTTCACTAACTTGCAATCTCCCTATTACAAGCCACTTTACGATAACCCTATTGCAAATACTTCAACTAACTTGTGATGCTCTCATCACAAGCCATTGTATAACTATCCTAGTTACAAAGGCTTTGACTAACTTGTGATGTTTCCACCACAAGCCACTTTGTCACACTACGGTTATAACGGATTTTGCTTATGACTAAACCTAGCCACAACATAAACTCAGGGAGTTTACGAATATACAAAGGGATTCCTAATCAATGCTTCTAGCTAAGCAATTTAGGATATATAATAAGTACGATCCCAAAGTTACAACTCAACTAGGACAACAACATGCTAACTTTTGGGAACAGGTCCGTAGTTGCGTTCAACTTTGTTCTTCAAGCTCGTGAGAATTGATTTCTCAGTTTTTGCAAGAGGCTTGAATAAGAAACAGACACCTTCAAGTGATATTTTGTATAAGTTCATTGTAGGTACACCTTAATCACATCACTTGAAATGATGTGAGTACTTTATTTGGTTAGAGAATGAGTGGGCGCTATAGACAGTGCAGTGCGGTAGAAACAGTGAAGGCACTCACTTTATTTCCAGCTGTGTCCAATTGACTTTGTACTGCTGTGAGGAACCCGCAAGAGTATCGGGTCCTTGTTTGGGTCCTAGCTCCTGAAGTTGTAACAGTTCACCTTTAGCTGGAATCCGTTAAGCTTGCAGTATATTCCAGTGTAGTCCAAGTAGGTTAGGTTCCCTATCTAGTTCTTATTAGTAAGTTTGTTAGAGCATCAAAACATAAGGTAAGAACATTTGAAACCTATTTCCCCTTTTTGATGATGACAAACTTAACATTTAGATCAGTGTGAACCAGATTTAGTAACAGGAAAAATAGGTTCCCCCTGACTCTATGCCTTTGCGTAACACATGCGTTCCCCCTGAGTTGATGGCATGTTATTTATTTATTTTCCCCCTTTTGGAATCATTAAAAATCCCAAACAGAAAACAGCACAAAGAAGTCCAACTAAGCTAACTCATGCCACATATGTGCACACAAGCATGATAGAGAATAGAAACAGAGAAGTATAAGAAAAGAGGATAGAATTGCTATTGATAAAACTTTAATATGCCTTTGCTTGAAGAAGCAAAAAGGCAACATTGGACTTGTTAAAACGGGAGCAGTAGTGTTTCATCCCAATCCACATAAAAAAGAAAACAAAAATATCTGCCAAGACATCAAAGAAGAAAAAAAACTTAACAAACATTTCCAGAAACTGGTCACTGAAGGGGTATTTAGAGGGCACTAGGAGTAAAAGGCTTGGTAGCTGCAACAAGTGTTTGGAGAACGAGGTCTATTCGGGCATTTGCCGACTTTTGCTCATTGAGCAGTTCTGCTTTCATGTTCTCTACTTGCGCCCTGAGATCAGCATTTTTCTTTTTCAAACGAGCCACTTCATCATTCGACATCGGAACCCCTTGGGCTTGCTGACCTTGCAGGATAGTATTCCTGGCCTTCAACCGAAGAATTTCCTCAGGTGCACTATTCTGAGCATTTATAAGCTATGAGACGGTTGATGTACTGCCTACCCCCCATTCTTTTCTATGCACTCGAATTCTTCTAAAGTGGTCTATGAGAAGGTCTGTTTCTTAGTCCCCACCTTGCCTGTCCCCAGTGGTACCTCAAAGAATTTAAACACTTGAGTAAGCAGGAATCCGTAGGGAAGCCCATGATTACAATCCTTGAAGGAGGCAACCTTTTGCATGTGTTCAATCATGATAGCAGGCAGACTCACCGGGGAAAAGCTGTCCAGTTGTTTCATCAAGAACAGGTCAGACTAAGAAGTCACTGACTGCCTCTCAACTCGAGGCAATAGAACTTTGTTAACCAATTCGAACAACAGCTGATACACAGGAAGGAGTGCTTTCTTATGGATCTGCTCCCCCTTTTGGTTTGCATTATCTTTGACTACGGCATTTCTGAAGTTAAACTGACATACATCCCTTGTACTTTTCACACCAGCGGTAGGAACTTTAAGAATCTCTCCAAGCAACTTTACATCGAAGACAATGTCCACTCCATGGACCAAAGCACAAATGTGGTCAGTCTCAACCGGAAAGACGCTAGCAAAGAAGCTTTGTACCTCAGCTTCATATACCTTAGGGGCATCAATTTGAAATAGATGTGCCCAGCTTTGAAACTCAACCATTTCCAGAATTTGGCGCATACCGGCCATCTCAGAGATTGCTGGGTCAAACGTACTCCCCATCAGAACTTTTTGATGCCTCAGGCATTCAGAGCCAAGACTGACTTCACTTCGCATTCTCTTCACAGAACCAGGTTCTTCAAAAATATTAGACTTGCGTTTGCCGGACTTCTCTCCACTGAATTTTCCTTTTCCCTTGGATTTGACCAGCACATCCTCATCAGACATCGAGGACTCACTCACCACCTCCTTCATCCTGGACTTAGAGGTTGACCCCTTTTCTATTGAGGCAGGCTTCTTTTTCGAAGACCGTCTGATAAGTGAACCAGGTTCATTTGGGGTTTCCTCTTCTACCTCCACTACAGGGATCCCCTCACTACTTACAGGAACACCATCTTTCACCATCTTTCTCCTTTTCTTCTTACTACTCTTCTTGCTCTTTTGAAGGGCAGAATCATAGGCCACCTTTACTTGAAGCCTGGTAGTAGGTCATTTGGTTTTAGGCTCAGGAGTGGACACAACCCTCCGCTTGCTTATGAAGGCATCAAGAGCCACATCACCTAGGTCGTCTTCATCACTGGATCTTGTTTCAGGTACTTGAATTTCCAAGGGCACAACAGCGAATGCAGGAACAGAACTGTTCTGGGAATGAGAGCCCTGACCTGGGTCCTCCGGAGAGGGATCAGGTTCCTCATGTGATTCCCCAGTAGCATATACTAGTGCATTCTTTTCAAATAGGTACAATGGCCTCTTCGTCCCCTACACTTTGTACCTCGTCTTTCTGAGAGATGATCTCATGCAACACACGATCCGTAGACACCACAAACACGGTTACAACATTTTTCTCTTCCTCAAATGGTGCTACTACCACCATGGAATCAGTAGCAATGATGGTAGAACTCTTTGTGACCTTAGGGTTTTGACCTTGTTCTCCACATGTTTTTAGACTGGTGGGAGCCTCAGATGATGGGGAGGTCGGAGCAGCAGTTTCAAGGGATTCAGAATTAGGAAGAGATTGAAAAACTGAGTGAGGTGTGACAGTAGCGGTAGGAGTAATTGTGGGTGTGGAAGGCTTAGTGGGAGCGGAAGGCTCCAGAGGTTGATTGGTAGGAGTGATGACTGAGGCAGGGAGATCGGATGTTGTCTCAGCCATTGTGAGAGTGGTGTGACGATGTTTTTGGGAAATTCTAAGGTAGGACTTATTGTGAGCAAGAGCCGAAAATAGGGGGTTTTAAGAGAAGAGGATAATTATGAAGAGAGGAATAGGAACTTCTTCTGAAACGACGGTTGGGCATGGAGAATCGCGATGTTTCAGAGGGAGATGGAATGATTTGAAATGAAGAGACGTGACAGCAGGATCTGAAGAGTTGAATGACATGGCAGTTGTATTTTTGTACCCTTTTTAAGACGTGTATTAAAGGATGCACAGAACTACTAACCTTTGGTACAAGAACCAGGTTCTTGACCTTTTTTTTTAAAGAATCAATCCTCTTTTATCATTCATGCACTGCATCTACAGCTTCTATACTCATCATGTGTGTTTACCTACAACGGTATTGAAGTGAGTTAGACATGGCCAGAAAACACTTTTAGCCAGTTATTTCTTGAAGGTGATTTTCATAGCCCGATAAAGAGGAATCAGGTTCTCAATTGGGCATTAAAAGTCCCAACTTCACTCTGTTTCGTTAAAACTGTTCCCTGCTTAGCGCCTTGGTGAAAATGTCTACAATTTGATCTTTTGTGCTGCAGAACTTCATACATATCAGCCCTTTCTCCACATTGTCACTCAGAAAGTGATGCCTCACATCAATGTGTTTTGTCCTTTTGTGTTAAACTGGATTCTTGGCCATGTTGAGTGCACTGGTGTTGTCACATAGAAGGGGCACACTCTTAGTGAGTACCCCATAGTCCTCCAGTTGCTGTTTGATCCATAAAAGTTGAGCACAGCAGGATGCTTTAGCTACATATTCAGCTTCAGCTATTGAGAGAGCCACTAAAATTTTCTTCCTTGTACCCCAAGAGATAAGACATAAGCCTAAGAAGTGAGCCATTGCAGAAGTGCTTTTCCTGTCCACAAGATATCTTGCATAATCTGCATCAGCATATCCAATCAGATTAAAATTGTCATCTGATGGATAATACAGCACCAGGTCCTGTGTTCCTTTGAGATATCTCAATATTCTTTTGGCAGCCTTCAAGTGAGATTCCTTGGGATCTGATTGAAACCTCGCACACAGCCCCACACTAAACGCAATATCAGGTCTGCTGGCAGTAAGATAGAGGAGAGACCCAATAATGCCTCTATACATGGTTTGATTCACAGGAGATCCAGTTTCATCCATGTCCAGTCGGGTGGTAGTAGCAATAGGAGTGTCTATCACCTTTGATGCTTCCATGTTAAACCTCTTCAAGAGCTCCCTAATATATTTTTGCTGACAAATGGATATATACCCTTTGGGGCCTGTTTTACTTGAAGGCCTAAAAAGAAGTTCAGTTCCCCCATCATGCTCATTTCAAATTATTCCTCTGAAACTGATGTAGCTTGTCTTGCATGGTTGTGATCCAATCTGCATCTTTCAAGGCTTCCTTGATACTTTTGAGCTCTATCTGGGAGAGAAAGGCTGAGAAGGCAAGTGAATTTCTGGCTCTTGACCTGGTTTGTACTCCGAAATCTAGAGGAGTAATAATGTTGTCCATTGGATGAGAGCTTTGGTGTCTCCAGTTAGACTCTTGAGGTTTATTTTGAGAGGAGGAGGGTATGTTTGGCTGATTTTCTTCTGTCCTTCTCTCAGGTGCTAGTGGAGCTCCCTGAACAACATCAACCACTCTTTCTTCAGCTTCAGTTGTTGTAATTGAAGTGCTTGGTTCTATTGAAGATGAGGCAGCATTGTCTTCATTTAGCTCCTTTTCTTGACTCATCATATCTGCCTTTCCAATTTTCATGTTAATGACTTCCCCAGGAACTAGTAAGGGTTCTCCATCTTGATCTTCCTCAGCACTTTTCTTACAGGATGGACAAGACTCATCAAAAATAACATGGATACTTTCCTCAACACATTGAGTCCGCTTATTATATATCTTATAAGCCTCGCTTTGAGAAGAGTAGCCCAGAAATATTCCTTCGTCACTCTTGGCATCGAATTTACCAAGCTGATCCTTTCCATTGCTGAGAACATAGCACTTATACCCAAATGTTCTTAGGTGAGTCAGCTTGGGTTTCCTTCCATTCAATAATTCATACGGGGTTTTGTTCAGAAGTGATATGATAATGCACCTGTTCACCAAGTAGCAGGCAGTGTTGACAGCTTCAGCCCAAAAGTTCTTTGCAATTCCACTGTCGATCAGCATTGTTCTTTCCATTTCTTCCAGAGTTCTGTTCTTCCTTTCTACTACTCCATTTTGTTGTGGAGTTCTGGGAGCTGAGAAGATGTGAGTGATGCCATTTTTATTGCATAATTCATCAAATTTGACATTGTCAAATTTTGTCCCATGATCGGATCTAATGCATGCGACTCTAGACTCCATTTTTACTTGGATTTTCTTCGCAAAGGCCACAAAAACCTCAACAATTTCATCTCTGGTTCTGAGAAATAGGGTCCATGTGATTCTAGAGTAGTCATCCACAATCACGGAAATGTATCTTTTTCCTCCTCTATTTTGCACTCTCATAGTTCCACAGAGATCCATATGCTGAAGCTCTAAAGGCCTTGAGGTGCTCACATCTCTTTTAGACTTAAAGGAGGATTTCACATGTTTTCCTCTAGCACAGGCATCACAGACCTTTTGCATCTTGAATTATGACATAGGTAGACCATGGACCAGGTCCTTCTGAATTAGTTTGTTCAAAAGAGAAAAACTTGCATGGCCCAGTCTTGTGTACCATAGTTCAGCATCATCATCAACAGCTTTCAAACAACTCAGATCAGCACTTTGCAAGGACTCGAAATCAGCAACATAGATGTTCTTGTATCTTTTGGCCACAAGTACTATTTCACCGGTCACAAGATTAGTGACTGTACATATTTTAGACAAGAATTCCACCTTGTTTCCTTTATCACAGATTTGAGAGACACTCAAGAGACTGTACTTAAGCCCGTTGACATAGTACACATTTTCAATAGTATGAGTGAGTGACTTCCCAACTTTTCCAACTCCAAGAATGTACCCCTTTTTTCCATTGCCAAAGGATACACTCCCTCCTTGCAGGGCCTTTAGTGAAAGAAAATTTGTTGTGTTCCCAGTCATGTGCTTTGAACACCCACTATCCATGAACCATTGTTGACCGCTTCCTTTCACTGTTCCCAGCACAAGAGATTAAGAGTTAGTTTTAGGAACCCAAGCAAGTTTGGTTCCCTTGTAGTAGGTAAGAGGATGAATAAGAGTTCTATTGGTCCATGCTGGTAATGTGCAATTTTTGTGAGTGGTACCTGGTCCCTCTTTTGTAGTCACCTTTTCAGCAAATACATTGTTTTTCTGAATCAATTGATTCTTGCCCTAGACATCTTCCTTGAAGTGCCCAGTGTTCCCACATTGGGTACAAGGCCAGTTATCAGAGACAGTGACGTACTTGCTGTGAGGGTAGTGAGGAGTTTTCTTTCCTTGGAACCCTATTCCCTACCTATTTTCCCAATATTAGTGTGCAAGGCAGTGGTGGCTTCTGAGGACCAGGTCCACTTTAGAGCTTTTTCAAGATCATTTTTTACTCTTTCCAGATCAGCACTCAATTTCAGCACACATCCTAGATCTCATAGCTTTCACCTCATTTTCAAGCCTAATATGTTCCTCACTAGCTATCTCCTTTCCCTTTCCAGAATTTTTAGCTTTTGACTCAGTCCATGGTTTCACTATTGTTTCCCTTGGGTCTGTAATTTCTGCTAACAGATCAACCTTCTCTTTTCTAAGGATATCAATGATTTTCTTATGGTTAGTAACTACGGCCACTAAGTCGTCTCTAGTTTGTTCTGATTCTTCTAATTCTAAGGTCAAGGAATCCCTATCCTCCATAAGACTATGAAAGGCAGTGATTAATATATTAGCTAAAGAGATAATTTTTTTGGAGAGTAGGATTTCAGATTTCTCTGAACATCCCTGAAATTTACCTCTTTGTTTCCATTGTCTTCTTTATCTGATTGAGCCATCAAAGCAAAAGATGAGTCATATCCAATCTCCTCGCCTTCGACTACCATCATGGAACTATCACCAATATCAGGTTCATCTTCAGACTCACTAGAGGAATCCCCCCATGCTGCAAGAGCCAGTCTCATCGTATTGTCAGCGGATCATTTTCTCTAGAAGTCCTTGAAAAATTCTTGTTTCAAGAGAGGACAGTCTTTCATGAAGTGTCTAGGCTTTCCACACTTGTAACAAAGATCACAGTTTTTTGGTCTGTTAGAGCCGTCCCTTTTTAGCATTTCTCCATTTCTTCTGACCATCTTCTGAAATCTTTTGGTTAAGTGAGCCATGTCATTGTCTTCCTCACTTGGATTATTGTTATCAGCTTTGAGTACCAGATTCTTTTCCTTCTTTGCTTCTCTTCTTTCACTGTCTATCTTTCTCTTCAGCTCATAGGTCTTCAAGTTTCCGATCAGCTCCTCTATGGTCAACTCCCTTAAGTCCTTTGATTCAGTAATAGCATTCACTTTGCTTTCCCAAGAGCTAGGCAGAAAACTGAGAATTTTCCTCACTAGCTTGTTTCTGGGAATAGTTTCACCAAGTGAGTGTAGCTCATATATGATGGAAGTGAATCTTGTGTGCATGTCTTGAATGGATTCATCGTCCCTCATTTTAAAGAGTTCATACTCGGTAGTGAGCATATCGATTTTAGACTGTTTTACTTGTGTAGTTCCCTCATAAGCTGTTTGCAAAGCTTCCCATATTTCCTTGGCAGTGTCACGGGTGGAGATTCTGTTGTACTCTTCAGGTCCTATTCTACACACTAGAATTTTCTTCGCATGAAAATTCTTCTCCACAACTTTCTTCAAAATTTGGTGGAGCAGCCGTGAGGATCCTTCCTAGGTGTTAGCCTGATAGGAGGAACCGGCTCTGATACCAATTGTTAGTTTGTGTGAGTCCACCAAATACTAAAGTACCTGGTCCTTTACTGGGTTCTGCTGAGAATGCTAGTAAAGCTGTACGTAAATAAGGCAGAGGATT